AGAAAGCAAGGACTCAGGAATTCCTGAGTTGTACTGTTTGTACCAGGGATTGAACCAGGGGTGCTTAACCACTGAGCCACATCGCGGCCCTTTTTCTATTTTTTTTTCTTCTTTTCCCTATTTTATTTTGATACAGGGTCTTGCTAAGTTGTTTAGCCCAGGCTGGCTTTGAACTTGTGATCCTCCTGCTTCAGGCTCCCAAGCCGCTGGGATTACAGGAGAGCGGCATCCCGCCAGGCTCTTGAATAGGTAATTTTAACTTAAATGGTCGACCACAGGATCTGTATATAAGGAAGAGTGATCAGTTGGCAAACTTTGTAGAAGGCAGGGGAGTCCACGAACTTGCAGGTCTCATCATCGAAGCAAAGTCGTCTAGGATATGTTCTGGGAACAGCAGAAGTTGTAAAACGGCCTAAACACACTTAGAGGGCACACCTTATCCCCGTTGCTGGCACCAACCGGGTGATCAGCTTCCTCTCCATTCCGCAACTACACTACACCAAGGGAGGGGCCCCACCCTGCAAACCCTCACTTCTCCAGCCAGTCTCTATTCTACTTCACCGACAACTAAGCGCCGTGTGCTTTCCGTGAACTCTGGCCAGGTCAAACCAAGCCGCACCTTACACTAGGCCAGAAGGAACTGACTCGCGCCGTCCCTAGCTGTCCCGCAAAGCCTCCGTAGTGGGGGAAGGGTGGCCCAGGCTGGAGGTCCGCGCGCACCGACTTCCGCCCCCACACACCGCGCGCTCCGTGGCCCGCGGCGGGAGCTGCGGTTGGACTGAGACGCCTGCGCACTGCCGCCCTCCTCGCGGCCCCGGGCACCCCACCCCCCGGTCTGGTCGCGCCCATGCGCCTGCGCTGTGCACGTTTCGGGGCTGCGGCAGCCATGCTGAACCCGTACAGAGAGGCGAGTGGGGGGGACAAGGTCGACGACAGCCGGATAGGACGCGGGAGATATGAAGAAGCAGCAGCATTAGCGCGCTCTGGGTGTCGGGAGACAGGCCTAGGCCTTGCGGCCCCGAGGCCCCCTCAAAACGACCCCCAGGAACGTTCGGAAAACTGGCCCTCGTGGCAGTGGGGGGGGGGGAGCAGCGGGCACGTGACTCCTATCAGCCAATCCGAGTGCTGCTGACGTGGCCGCGCGGCCCGGATGCTCTCCCCACCCCCCAACCCGCTCGGGAAGGGAGGGGCTGGGGGCTACGCCCCCTCCCCCAACACTGCTTCGGTTTCCGGGGGGGTTGACACCCCGGATTACATCCTCCCCCCACACCAAGCCGAGGGCAACATTGGAGCCCCCCCGGAAGGCTCCACCATCCAGGTGAGAAGGGGCACTTGGGGCGGGGATGATGTTAGTCATTTAGATGCCAGTGACTTAAACCTATACGGTGAAGAAGCCGGGGTGTGTGTGGAATTCTTGGGGTTCAAAAAGAACCTGAGTGGGATTTGTCCTTCAAATACTTCACAGCCAATGGGAGTGTGGAGGGGGACCAGCAGGAGAGGGCCACTATGATGGGGGAGGGAATGGCCAACCTCCTGCTTCCATACCAATTGGAGGGCAAAGGGGAAGAGGGGGCGGCGTGCCCCCCCCATTCGTCCCCTGGGGGTACAGGAGCCTGCAGCCAGGTGAGAAGGGATCCTTCTTGGCGGCTGAGGGGGTGATCTGGTAGGCTGAAGAGTGAGAATGATGGCTGTAATTCCTAATCATGGATGTAAATGCTTTAGTGTTGTCAATTCAGGCTGTGAAATGAGGTTTTTCGCAGGCGCCAACTCACTTTCTCCCTAGAGACTCTGCTCGGAGCATTTCTTTGCTCCCTTTGTGTCAAGGGTAGGAAGCTCGCAGTTACCACATGGCATGCTGGAGCTTAGACTTGTCTGTTATCGAATTTGTGTGCATTCGCATGGACACGGCCTGTGGGGGCCCTGTGCCCAAACCTTCGTTGCCCCTCTAAGAGCTACTTGAGCACTTGTCTACTAGGGGTCGGAGGAAGGTTACAAACCGAAAGTTTGGGGTCTACTTGGGGAACAGAACCCAGGCCCAAAGTGGGTCCTAGTAAAAAGTGTGGCCTGAGACAGCGGGAAAGCGCAGAGCCTGGAATGAGTTCCTAGGTTTCGGGTTTCTCCGGGGTGGCCTCGTCTATTGCGTCTTTCATCCCCTCCCCCAGTCCTGAACAGCTCTCTCCTTGTGTACTGCGGGGGAGGGAACGGAAAGGAGGGGAAGAGTTACTTTTCCAAATTACTGAGTAGCAGTAGCCTCCCCTGTGACTCATGTGGGGGAAGGGAGGATTAGGAGAGATTGGGGAGCAGTGATTTTCCGGAATGCTGGGAAATGAGAGTTAAAATTCTGGCCACCCTTTCCCTTTCTAAAGCCCAGTATCTCTCTGCCGCCCCAACTTTTTCTGCCCTGGCCGGCCCCCTGATGGGCCTGTGTCCTGACCTGCAAAGCCCCGGGCGGAGAAAAGCAGATTTGGGAGGCTGGGCCACTAGGGGGAGGGGAGAAGGCCTTTGCAAAGTTGCTGTGTCATTGCCCTCCCTGCTGCAGCCACCCGGGCGGGGCTGCATGTACTTTGGGGGGCCAGGACCGGATCCCAGGTGGGCTGGGGGTGGGGCGCCGGGGGACTCTGCTTTCCCTGCGCGCACTTCCCTCCGGGGGGTCTATCCTCCTCGGGTGGTCCTGAAGACCGGAGGCTGGCGGCCATGTTAGGTGCAGTATGCGAGGTTGGAGCACAAGGGTTACTGCAGATAGAGGGTGGCATGATTGCAGCTCAAGGACCTAGGAGGCCCTGACTAGCCCTTCCAGGGGTAGAGGGAGCTTTCCTTATATTCGTTGCCCTACATTAATTTCCTTGCCTGGACGTGCACACAAACCTATTTTCCTCGGGGGTGTCAAAGCGCAGCTATTCTGTGGTGGGGGAAATCCTTTTATTCTACGGTAGGGGTACCTCCTCTGGATGTGCTTCAGAGATCCTGGCCTTGGGCTCCGGTTCTTTATTCATACGTAGTCTGAAAGCCTATTCAGATAATCAAATTGTGAGGAAGACTTAAGAGGGAGTTAGGGGGAGGGGGCGAAACTGAGCTCCCAAAATGGCTCCTGCCCCTCCTCGGAGGCGGACGGCCCGGGGGGGAGGGGAGGAGGGGAGAGAAGGAGGGGGAGGGCTAGTCTGAGCTACAGCCGCCGCCTCCTCTGCTCGCCCTCCTCCCTGGCGCTGACCGATGGACGAGCAGCTCCGTGGGGAGGACTCCGGACCCTGGTGGGGGGATGGGGGCGTTCTTTGGCCCCCGCGTGCGAAGGGACCCCAGGAGGGCGGTGCGGGTCTGCCCGGGCGAGGGGCGGGAAGCACGGGGAAAGGTCTGAGCTCGCCTGGAGAGGGGAGGGTCCCTCCCCCATTTCGCCCCTTGTAGGACTTGTTTTTTTCTGTTCTGAGACGCCGGAATGAGTTCGGGTAGAAGGGTATTACAGGATGGATGGGTTTGGAGATTTTGTTCCCGCTTTAGGGCTGTGGGTTTTTGTAGGCAGGTATTTGTATTGCTAATGAAGGGACGAGTGGGCTGGGATTGGAGAAGTGCTTGGGCGTGAAAGTTTTGGGTTTGGTGGCCTTGTTCATAGTATTTGGGTGTTCGCAGAGAGAAGTATTTTGCCTTTGCTTTCGATTATTTGGTCTGGGGGAGGGAAGGGAGGATTGTAAGACTTTTAGCAAGCCGTATTTTAGGTCATAGAAAAGAGGAATGTTAGACCCCTTCGTGTTAACATTCAGGCGCCTTTAGTTGTTCGCCACAGGAGAATAGGCCGCGGTTTCTAAGATGGCGTCTTTCTTCCTCATTTCAGATTCTTCACTGCAGCGGCCTCCCTGCCAAGAACAGCATTCCGCCCAGCGTCCTGCAGCCACACCCCTGGCGAGCCGCGCCTGGCTACGCCCACGCGACCCCTCCCGTTCGGCCAATGGAGAACCACGAATGGCACTACCAGCCCAAGCTTGGCAGTCGGGAGTTACTTCGTGCTTGGGAAAACTTAGTTGGAAGAGGAGGCGGGGAGAAGGTGCTGGAGGCCGTGGGGAGATGGCCCTTGCACCTATTCCAACCTCCCTGTTTCCCTGGAGTCGCCGAACTACAGCGCAACCAAGCGGCTCAGATATGGCGGGTTGCCTATTCCCTGTGAGTCTATGCGGCACTCTTCTGCCTGGTGACTGACGACTTGGAAATGAAGTTTGTGACGTCATCGCTTCGACAGACCAATAGAAGAAGCTCCCGCGGAGATGGGATCCACCTCCTTCGACTTTGCTACTTCACGCGCGTGAGCGAGCGAGCGCGCGCGGAGGGGGTGGGGAAATTCTGGAGCAGGGTGGCGCGCATGAGCAACGAAGCTCCTCCTCCCCGCCTATATATAAAGGGCTGGCGCGGGGCTCGGCGGCGCCATTTCGCGCTGGAGTGGAGCAGCCTCTAGAACGACCTGGAGGATTCTGCTTACCGATACAGAGCCTTTGACTCGTCGGGGGCCGCCATTACAATCCACGTCCATCCGTTTGGAAATGGCCTTCGTCTCGGCCTATGACCGGTCCCGGCGGACAGTACAGACCCCATAGAAGCCCCTGAAGCTCCCCTTTTTCGGGCCCCGCCCAATTGTCGGAGTCTGTCCACCCCCTCTACTCCGCCCTCAAGAGGATTTCAAAGATGGAGGCGGCGGCTTCCTAAACCACTTTTCGTGTTCATCCGCCTCCATCCGAGGTCGAAACGGGATCTTGTCCAACCCGTACGGTCCCGACAGGAAGAGGGGACCCCTGCAAACCAACAGCGGGCTGTATTGACGACGGTGTCTAGGATCGGGGACTGTCTTTGGTTTTGGAGAGTCTATCCCCCTTCTCGTACGCCGGTCTCTGCTGAGGCCGCCGCCATTTTCTTGCTGTCCGCTGCCTGCGGAGCGCGCCAAGCTGCCGGGAGTCCTGCGAGAGGCCGCGCGGAGGAGACTGCTCGTGCCGGCCCAGCGGGGAGATTGTCGCCTGGAGGGCCAAGGGCAACGGCCTCCCCCCCACTTCCCGGGTTATGCTGGACCGGGCGGTGAGGGGATCCGAGGCCACCCGGACTTTTCGCGGCTGAAGGCAGCGCTGGTTCCCCGCGGTCAAGATGCTGCAAAACGTGACTCCCCACAAGTACGTCTCCCGAGTGCGCGCGTGGGAAGGGGTCGTTGTGGGACGGCGGCACGGGTGGAGGGCGCCGTGTTCGGGGGCAGTACCGAACCACCCGGCGCCGGTTGCTATGCGTTGCCACTTCTTGGCGCAGCTGTTGACCCGGGCTCGCGGAGGGGGTTGGACGACGGTTTTGGAACGGTGGCGGCGACCCAGTTGCTGCGTGTGGGGGGAGCGCAGGTTGTCAATTTATAAGCTACAGTCATGGCCCGGTCTTAACCAAGTTAGAGCTAGTTCGGTGGCTGAAAGGGTAGGAATGGGTAGTTTTAAGTAGACGAGCAGGTCCTGCGGATATTGGGCCTGGTGTCCAGTTTTGGTTTGTCATGGTGTTTGGGGGGTTCGTGGTCAACCTCTGCCAGTAGTTGCCATGGTGACCGAGCTTCGGGACTTGGCAGCGGGGATTCCCAACTTTAGGATAGAAAGGATCCTACTGCCCAGGGTGTCATAAAATTCCTGCTTGTCTTTCAGTGAGTGGAAGGAGGGGTCTGGTTTTTGATGGTGTTGAGTGTTTGATTTAGGGCAGGAGGGTGGAGCTAAGACTTTTGCAGCGCTGCGGATGTAAACAATGAGGTCTCTAAGTAGTGTCTTAAGTCTTAGGTAGTGGGAAACACCTGGTCCGGAGGAGTAACAGGACCACTGTTGGTCTTTAATGTGCAGTAGATGCTACATTGAGAACTGTTAGACCGTGTTTTTCTAGCAGGGTTTTGGGAGGTGTGCTGTCACAATCAGGTTGTGACCTTGGCGGTTGGGTGGCTGTTTTTTGAATTCTTGGAGGAGGTAGTTTGCAAATCTGGAGGGCAGTCAACTCCAATTGTGAGGTCTCACAAGATGTTCCCTTGTCTGAATTTTAAGTTAGACTTTTAGTGCATTTTCTGTTATTAAATACTCAGCTTAATGAAAATAACATTTCTTGTACCCAGGTGGATTGATTCTTGGGTGTCTCAGCATTTTATGAAGTTTTTCTTCCTAGTTTATTTTCTCTCTTTCACTGTCTTCCCTCAGGCTCAACCACCATGGCAACCACCAAACCCCTAGTGAGGAGGAATCTTGGTCTTCAACTCCACCCATTTTTGCTTAAAGAGCCATCCCCATAGGGCTTTCTTTCTTATTTTTAATTGAGCATGGGTTGCCAAACTCCAGAAGGTGGGATCTAGATTAGCTATACTAAAAATAAAAGAAGGGGGGAGGTGGGCATCAACAGAATCTCTACAGATGATTTTGATATTGGTTCATATTTGGAACCACTTGCAAGCTTAGTCATCTCACTAGGTCCAGAGCTTGGATTTATTGGTGACATAGTGCAAATTGCACTTGGAATTCCATGAGATCTCCACATCTAATATTATTTACCATTTTTGCAGGCTCCCTGGGGACGGGAATGCAGGGTTACTGGGGTTGGGCCCAGAGGCAGCAGCTCCAGGAAAAAGGATTCGAAAGCCTTCTCTGTTGTATGAGGGATTTGAGAGCCCTACAATGGCGTCAGTGCCGGCTTTGCAACTAACCCCTGCCAACCCACCACCCCCTGAAGTATCCAATCCCAAAAAGCCAGGACGGGTAACCAACCAGCTGCAATACCTGCACAAGGTGGTGATGAAAGCTCTGTGGAAACATCAGTTTGCGTGGCCATTTCGGCAGCCTGTAGATGCTGTCAAACTGGGTCTGCCGGTGAGTAGGAACATAGAGTTGGGGGAGGTATGGGAATGAGCAAGAATGTGTGTGAGTGGGGGTGGGTTGCCTAGTGTAGGTGCTGCGGCCCCTAGGGAGTTCCCAATTCTTTTCTGTAGGGCAGATAGCCACCATAGTTCTGAATTCTTGGTCCTTTGTGATTGTTCCAACCGCTTGCTATCTCTATCTTGGCATCTCTTATTGTGCCTTCTGTGTCCTTCCTTAACTTTTTGTGCCCTGGCTCCATTTTACAGATTCCCACCCCGGGTTGGGAGAGGACCACGGTGGCCAAAATTCTTAGCTTCTTCCTTTCCCTCATGCAGCCCATGGATAGCCAACCCCAGAGGTAATGTCACAGGATGGGAAGTTTCTAGAATGGGTGGGAGGTGGGTGGTTAGGGAAAGGCAATAGGGGCCCCCAAAGTGGGTTAAGGATCCTGTTCCCCACCCTATCTCCCCCCCTTTTTTTTGGTCCTGTAGTTTAATTGGGGCCGCAGTTTAGGGAACTGTATTCCTTTGATACATAGGGTGTGTGTGTGTATGTGTGTGTGTGGGTTGGTCAGTGGTTTCCCTGGGAGAATAGGTATTTTAATTTTCAGTGGCTCTGACATACCATTTCTTTTTTTTTAGGATTATCACAAAATTATAAAACAGCCTATGGACATGGGTACTATTAAGAGGAGACTTGAAAACAATTATTATTGGGCTGCTTCTGAATGTATGCAGGATTTCAATACCATGTTCACCAACTGTTACATTTACAACAAGGTAAGTTTTTCTGTGTGCATTTAGCAGGTGATAAGAGGACATTTATTATAGCCAAATGGAAATGTTTTGTCTTCTAGTTATTGAAGCTGTATCCAGTTAGTAATGGTCAAAGAAAACTGAGTCCAAATAGTGTTATCAGTAATGTGGCTTCAGAGCTCTATAATTTAAGGTTATTTAAGTAGAACACTTTCATACTTGGGGATGGTTGCCCTGTTTCTCAGAAAGCTCCAGAGACCTGAGTAGAGCAGGATCTATTTTACTCATTAGTTCTCATTCTCTTAAGCTTGTGAACATTAAGGGACCATGTATTTTCATTAGTTTGAATTTTGAGAGGAAAGAAAAGGGGACATTATTGGCCTAATGTGGTCATTTGCAGCATTTGATGGCAGGTGCCTAAGGGAGAGTGGTCATGCCCTGGGGCTGGGAATTTGACAGAAATGGTCGTTTTGGTTTTGGTTTTGGTTTTGGTTTTTTTTTTTTTTTGCTATCATTTGGACTTTTCTAAATTTGTTTTTTGTTTCACTAGCCCACTGATGATATAGTCCTGATGGCACAGACACTGGAAAAGATCTTCCTACAGAAGGTGGCATCAATGCCTCAAGACGAACAAGAGCTTGTGGTGACCATCCCTAAGAACAGCCATAAGAAGGGGGCCAAGTTGGCAGGTGGGAAGAGTGAGATGAGAGTTTTGTGAATGGAGACCTGAAGAGACAGGAAAGAGAAACAAACTAAACGGTTTTTGCTTTGTTTTTCTTTATTAAGCACTCCAGGGCAGTATTACCAGTGCCCATCAGGTGCCTGCTGTCTCTTCTGTGTCACACACAGCCCTATATACTCCACCACCTGAGATACCTACCACTGTCCTCAACATTCCCCATCCATCGGTCATTTCTTCTCCCCTTCTCAAGTCTCTGCATTCTGCTGGACCCCCGCTCCTTGCTGTATCTGCAGCTCCCCCAGCTCAGCCCCTTGCCAAGGTATAGATAAATATATCTGTTTTGGACAGTGGGAAGGGAAAGGTTTTGAATGAAGTGGAGCTGGAGTAATAGTCTGTTGGTTTTTTATTTATTTATTTTTTTTCTGCAGAAAAAAGGGGTTAAACGAAAAGCAGATACTACCACCCCTACACCTACAGCCATCCTGGCTCCTGGTTCCCCAGCCAGCCCTCCTGGGAGTCTTGAGCCTAAAGCAGCACGGCTTCCCCCTATGCGTAGAGAGAGTGGTCGCCCCATCAAGCCCCCACGCAAAGACTTGCCTGACTCTCAGCAACAACACCAGAGCTCTAAAAAAGGAAAATTGTCAGAACAGTTAAAACATTGCAATGGCATTTTGAAGGAGTTGCTCTCTAAGAAGCATGCAGCCTATGCCTGGCCTTTCTATAAACCAGTGGACGCTTCTGCTCTTGGCCTGCATGACTACCATGACATCATTAAGCACCCCATGGACCTCAGCACTGTCAAGGTACCCACTGCATGGGGCAGATGGGATGCTAAGGCAGTGATTGGCATCTAGGGATCAATAAAATAATGTTCATGTCTCCTTATGGGTACACAGCAGTCTTTGATTTTTGGTTTTACAAAATTGTAAAGGGGCAGGTCAAGCAGTTGGAAATTGCATTTCCTACAGTAAGGATGAGTATTCTGTTTGAAGAGCAACCCTAATACACAGTTCTACTATTTAATGGGAGGGTTGGGTCAGAGAAGTTAAGGGGTGGAAGAACAGTCGGGTTACCTCCTGTATCACTTAGAAATGATTTCTTTTTCTAGACTTAAGATAAATTCTTCAACCTACCCAAATTCCTTTGACTTCTAACTTTAACCTCAGGGCACAGATCCATGTGCACATCCCCACTGTGCTCTCAAGAGAGGGCTTCTTGTGTTGTCTGGGGTTGGCAGGGAAAGGTGAGTCTCTCTGCCTGTGCAGCTTCTGATGCTGCCTCCTTCTGCAGCGGAAGATGGAGAACCGTGATTATCGGGACGCACAGGAGTTTGCTGCTGACGTGCGGCTTATGTTCTCCAACTGCTATAAGTACAACCCCCCAGACCACGATGTTGTGGCCATGGCACGAAAGCTGCAGGTGAGTGTAGAAGTTGAAGCTTAAAGGATAAATGGGTATGGGAGGGAGATTGCATCAATTTGTGCAGTATGTCCTCGACATGAGAGGACATACAGCCACAAATTGAAATTATATGACGAGGTGACTGGGTATAGCCCAGAACATTGTACCAGCATAATTTTTTTCCTAGGACGTATTCGAGTTTCGTTATGCAAAGATGCCAGATGAACCACTGGAACCAGGGCCTTTACCAGTCTCCACTGCTTTGCCCCCTGGGCTGACCAAATCCTCTTCAGAGTCCTCCAGTGAGGAAAGTAGCAGTGAGAGCTCCTCTGAGGAAGAGGAGGAAGAAGATGAGGAAGATGAGGAGGAAGAGGAAGAAAGTGAAAGCTCAGACTCAGAGGAAGAAAGGGCTCATCGCTTGGCAGAACTACAAGAACAGGTATATTGTCACTCTTCAGTCTTTTAACTGGGTAAAAATTTGGTTCATGCTCTATCTTGGTCCTATTTTTTTCTCTCAATTTTACTTTCCCACTTCATGTCTTGACTTTTCTTTATAGCTTCGGGCAGTACACGAACAACTTGCTGCCCTGTCCCAGGGCCCGATATCTAAGCCTAAGCGAAAGAGAGAGAAAAAGGAGAAAAAGAAGAAACGGAAGACAGAGAAGCATCGCAGCCGAGCTGGTGTTGATGAAGATGACAAGGGGCCTCGGGCATCCCGCCCTCCTCAACCCAAGAAGTCTAAGAAAGCTAGTGGCAGTGGGAGTGGCAATGCTGCCACGCTAGGCCCTCCTGGCTTTGGATCTTCTGGAGGAAGTGGCAACAAGTGAGTTCTAATAAAGTCAAAGCAGACTAGTTTGGTTTCTATGCTATCTTCCACTCGTAATTTTTTTTTTTCTAAATGTGAGGGTGGTCAGCAAATTTTGTGATAACTGATCAGGGTAATAGCCTTCAAGAACCATGGGGTCTCTCAGGGTAACTGAATCAGATGTGTGGTGCATAAAGTGCTGTAGGCAATATGAAAACAATTATGACGCATGATTTACAAAAATCAGGTTAGCTAGATTTGTTTCTCTCTGCCAGTTTGCTTACTCTTGTAAATAAATGATTCTAGACTTGTGTTTTTTCACGATGGCTTTAGTTGTGCTTTTAAAGGAGCAAAAAGATGGACTTGTACCAGTCCATCTTTATATATCAATAAAATGCTCAGTTTTCTTAACTCAGTGTCCTAGTAAACTTACCTCTAACCTGGCTTTTTTGCCTTATGGCAAAATACGGCAGGAAATAAATTTCTGGGTTGAACAGTGGGACTATGTTTGGAGAGGTAGTTTTTGTAGTTGACAGGGTTTTTTGTTTTGCTTTGTTTGCCTATAGGCTACCCAAAAAGGCCACAAAGACAGCTCCACCTGCCCTGCCTACTGGATACGATTCAGAGGAGGAAGAAGAAAGTAGGCCCATGAGTTATGATGAGAAACGACAGTTAAGCCTGGATATCAACAAATTACCTGGAGAGAAATTGGGTCGAGTTGTACATATAATTCAAGCCCGAGAGCCTTCTTTACGGGACTCAAACCCAGAAGAGATTGAAATTGATTTTGAAACACTCAAACCATCCACACTTAGGGAACTTGAGCGTTATGTCCTCTCCTGCCTACGAAAGAAACCACGGAAGCCCTATAGTGAGTATCACCTGAAGTCCATTGTGGTTCTGACAGCTTAGAGGTAGTGGTACATAATATAATGCATTTGTTTTGAAGATGTGATGCATGTGCTGTGCTGCTTCCTTGATGTTCAAGAATGGAACTTGGAGGGCTGGGGTTATAGTTCAATTGGTAGAGCATTTGCCTAGCATGTGTAGAGGCACTGGTTCAATTCTCAGCAGCACATAAAAATAATACGAGTTTTATGTCTATCTACATTTTTTTAAAAAATGGAACTTGGAAATCTATGTGGCCAGTAACTCTAGGCAATCTTAGTGAATTCTGTTATCCATCCTCCCGCCCCCAGCCATTAAGAAACCTGTAGGAAAGACAAAGGAGGAACTAGCTTTGGAGAAAAAGCGGGAACTGGAAAAGAGGTTACAAGATGTCAGTGGGCAGCTCAATTCCACCAAGAAGCCTCCCAAGAAAGGTGAGAATACCTGGAGACTGCTGCAAATGTATTATACTTGTTTTCATGTTTTCAGAAAAAAATTTTATCTTTTAACTCTCAACTTTTTTGTTCAGCGAGTGAGAAAACTGAGTCAACCTCTGCACAGCAAGTAGCAGTGTCTCGTCTCAGTGCTTCCAGCTCCAGCTCAGATTCCAGCTCCTCCTCTTCATCTTCCTCTTCTTCAGACACCAGTGACTCGGACTCAGGCTAAGGGGCCAGGCCAGATGGGGCAGGAAGGCTCCGCAGGACCGGACCCCTGAACTACCCTGCCCCACCCCATTCCCCCTTGCTGTGACACTTCTTCATCTCACCTCCCCTCCCCCCTCTGTAGGAGAGCTGGCTCTGCAGGGGGGAGGAATGCAGGAACATTCACTGAAGGAGGGATATGGACAAAAAATAAGATTGGATTTCCAGCCCCTTTGGGAGTAACCTCTTGGGAGCCCCCTGTTCAGAATGATGGGGATGGGGCAAGGGTACAGGGTGAGAATGGGCAAAAGCCCCTGGACACAATGTTACCTGAGGCCATAGCTGCCCTGTTCACTTCTAAGGGCCCTGTTTTGAGGTTGTTTGTTCTAATTTATTTTAAGCTAGGTGAGGCTGTGGGGGATATGGTCATGGTCCCCTTGGCCTCCATGGGGAGGGAAGAAGGGGGAGCTCTTTTTTTACGTTGACTTTTTTTTTCTACTCTGTTTTCCCTTTTTTCCTTCCGCTCCATTTGGGGCTCTGGGGGTTTCAGTCATCTCCCCATTTGGTCCCCTGGACTGTCTTTGTCTCTTGATTCTAACTTGTAAATAAAGAAAATATTATTCAAGTTTTGAGTGAGTCATCTTCGTGTAATATTTGTTTTTTGTAGGTTTGAAAAAGACTGATTTTCAATTTTTTTTTTTTTTAACAGTGCCAGGCTCTAAACCCAGGGCCTTTGAAGTGCTAGGCAAGTACTCTACTATTGAGCTACACTTAGCCTGCTGCCTGTTTTTTTTTTTTTTGTTGTCCCTTAAAATTTTCAGGAAAGTGATTTTTGAGAGGAATGGCCATACTGCAGTTGGGTTACTTTAGTGTTGGCTATGTTGTTAATAGTACTATCAGCCCTTTATTAATGAGTCTAATCTGGCTCATTTGTGTCTATCAAGTTTGGCCTGGATATGGGGCACACATGTTTTGTAGTCCCAGCTATTGGAGGAGGTTCTACAGCAGCAGAATCATAAGGTCAGGACCAGACTGGGAAATAGCCTTTTTTTTGAGACAGTTAAGTGTAGTTCAGTGGCAGAAAGCACTTGCCTAGCATGTATGAGCCCCTGGATTCAAACCCTAGTGCTGGGGCTTGAAGATTTTCTCTTGATATTGGTGTGAATTGTCTCCTGAACACACAACTAAAATGTGAAAGGGATTTAGGAGTTAACCAACAGCTGTTTTGCTTTCTTCTGTCTTGAAAGACTACCATGAGCCTGTCTTCCCTTGCTAAGAGTAAGAGGGGGAAAGGTAGTTAAGGAGCTGGGATGTACAGTTTTCACAGTGTGGGTTTATATTGTATGTGGGAGACAGTTTTGGTTTAGTATAATGGATGTAGTTGGAAACCTGAAGCTTGAATTAGGATTTAAAAGTGGGAATCTGATATGAAGAAAATGGCTTATTGTGCCATACATAATGCCATCAGAAGCAAGGTATAGGATGGACACCAGAAAGATGAAGATTTTGGAAGTAGCAATTATTCTATCTTTGGGAATTCTGGTTAAATTGAATCCTGGCCAACAGCTCGGGAGATGATAAATCATAATGTGGTGATTTAGTAACGGGAGAAAACCTTTGCACTATGGAGTTTGCCCCTTAATGAGCACCTTTTGAAAAGGAGCAGTGGATGGTAGGAATTTTACTACAAAAAAAATAAATTAGTCATTGAGGTTGATTTTTAAATATGTATGGGGTTGTATTTCATTTCCGGGAGAGTTTAAGGTTTGAATTGGATAAGTTTGCAGAAACATCAATAGCTGTTGTGTGCACACCCTTTATTTGTGCCTGGTTTTGAACCCAGGGGCATTTTACTTCTGAACCATATCCCAGTCCTTTTTTAAAGCTGCTTAGGGCTTTAAAAAGATCTTTCTATCCATCAAAAGATTTATGGAGTGCCTTTGGAATTGCTTTGGTTCTTTAGAAACTGAATCCAGGGAACTTCAAATGATTTAAGAGGAGGAAGAGAATTGGCTCAGAATGAACTCTAGGCCAGAGAAAGTGGAAAAGACCTCATACTTGTTAGATCCATCTGGGATCGAATATTGGGATTGACTTTTCCTTAGCTGAATTAACTGGTCAGCACCTCAGCTCTACTTCATGCTGACTCCTTTAGGCATTTTAAGTTTCAGGAGTTGGGTTGAGTTCCATCTGGAATGTCAAAAAGTATTTCCTAAGTGGCAAGTACAGGCTTCACAACTAGTGAAGTCCTTTGCACTATTATTTCCTCTTGTGCTCTTCCCTGCTGTTGGTATCCTGTGCTCTCTTGCTGTTTCTCTCCCCTGGCCTTCCATGCCATTTGAACTTAAATTTTTCCATGGGAATCCTTTTTTTGTGGGGAAGGAGGTATGGTTGAGATCAACAGATTATTCAGTCAACATTGAGTTCTCTTGATTTCCTTTAATTTTTCAATAGACAAGGGGTATAGGGTGAAGATATGAGGACAGCCTTATCTTCATGGAATTTGCTTGGTATCATTAGGGTGCAATTAATCACCAGATCAGTGATTATTCAGATCACTCCAAGATAAAGATATGACTCAGTCTTAATGCACTATCCATTTTTACTGCAGCACACTTTATGAACCTAGTCCCTTTATTAGGTTTTGCTTCCATGAGTGACCAGCATGAAGAACTCCCAGGACAAGGACCACTAGTTGGAGTTATCCTGTGGGCCTTGTGCAAAGTAACCAAAGAGATCTATGAGCAATGAGCAGCTGTGACAAGCTGTGGAAATATTAGAACCAATGTGATAGCTCCCAATGATAAACTAATTTCCTTTTTTTTTTTTTTTCTGGATCATCCCTAGTTCAAATTCTACAAGATCCCACTTAACTGAATAAGTCAGCTCCTCAGTTTCTATGTGGGGAGAATGGAAAATGGCAACATTAGAATCGGAGGAAGGAGTATACATTGCCTTCAGAGTTTGGCCAGGAGAAGCCCAAGGAGGGCATTTAAGTCAAGTTCAACGCATAACAAATTTATCAAAAATTCACATTGACTACTTTTGTGCCAACTACCATGCCAAAACCAACTTCTATTCGGTATTCACTGGAACTCTTTACGTCTTAACCCCTCTTAATAAGTGAAGAAATAAAACACAAATGATGCAATTTACCCAAATCACAACACAGCCATTGGGTGGCGGAGGTGGGAAGTGAACCCGGACAGCCAAGCTTGAAGATGCATGTTGATGGGTACACTGAACTGAAAGTGAGCCAGGAGACAGATTTTAAAGAAATTGACTAGAGTTGGTGCCTATAGTCCTAGCTTGAGATGGGAAGATTACTTGGGCCCCCAGGAGTTTGAGAACAACTTAGACATACAGCAAGAATTAATCTTAAAAAAAAAAAAAGTGCTAGCATATCATTATGAAGTAACATTAACAGAGTGGATAATTTAGGAAAGAATTGCAGCAATTAGTCCCAGCAAACAAGGATAGTGTTTTGAAAATGGAGAGGCAATCATGTAGATGAAGGGCCATTGATAGGTTTGAAAATTATGTAAGAGATAAATGGGACTTTTCTTTTTCTTTTTTTTTTGTATCAGGGATTGAAGTCGGGGACACTCAACCACTGATCCACATCCCCAGGTGAGTTACAGCCTGTTGCTGAGACTGGCTTTGAACTTGTGATCCTCCTGTCTAAGCCTTTAGAGCCGCTGGGATTACAGGCATGTGCCACCATGCCCGGCAATGGACTGTTAAATCACAACACTAAAGCAGTTTGTGTACGTCTCTACATACATACATACATACATACATACATAGAATACGTGAGATATATATACACACACACATGTATAGATATCAATGCCCCTTAGTCCCTAGTACAGCTATCAAGTAGTGGAAGCAGGATAGTTGGATCAAGGATTGCCTCCTGTCTGGCTAACAGATGAGAATGAAATCCAGCAAGGTTTGCAGAAGGCAATTCTAAGGTGCTTGAACACTGCCACGGAGAGTCTTTGGTGCCATCTGTTGGCTGAGTAGCTTATTGACTTCTGAATCTTGTCATTTTTGTCCATCTTTAGGTTTCCTCATTTTCATTCCTGTAACTTGAAATCTGAGCCTTCACTTTTTTGATGGAAAAGGCCTTTGAAGGAAGCTCAGGCCCTCAGAACTTGTCTTCCTTTACCTCTGAGGCATCTCACATTCTTCCCCTGGATTCATTGACACCACTTGCTCCCAATGCACATGCTTTTCAGACAGCCCCTCTTGCCCTGTTCTAAAGCCTCTGCCTCAGCCTTCCATAAGATGTTGTCCCTTGTGGTATCTTTCTTTGTCCTCTTATTTAAATACTAAGCAATTTGACCTCTTCCTCTGGAAACAACTCCAACCCATAAAATCCATGTCTTTTTACATCTGGCATCCCACTTCCAAGAAGCTTTCACTGAGGTCTGTTGAGACTTCCATCACTTCTCTGTCTGTGCCCCCTGTCAGGCTGGGCTCAGCTCTTCTTACCAGTCCATGTCTTCCAGCTCTACCACATCTCGGGAGCTCATCACCCACACATGCCCTCATGCCCTGTCCCCTTCCCACCCTGCTAGTAAAGATCTCCTTTCCTGAGGTACCAGGCCTGTCTCTTCCAGGCAGACCTCACCTCACCTCCTCTCATCATCCTTGCCAAACTTTCAACAAACCCCAAACTTCAAATATATCTTTGTAGAGCAAGTAAATGTATATCATAAAGTATTTCTCATCTGTTTGCCAGATAAGGACATTGCTAATATCAGATAAGCTAATATTTGATTTGCATTTGGAGGAGAAAAGTGGTTTGTTCTCCAGCAATAAGCATTTTTTGTCAAATATATTTCGGTGGGAAAAAAATGTTCCTAAAACTCTCTTTTTCCAGACCTCAGAGTCAATTGCTGGAATTGCTGAGACTATAAGTAACACTGGTTAATGGATATTTCCTTTTCTTCTGGCCCTGAAATACATGTGACCCTGGTTTCCCTGTGAAGGCAGGTTGTAGAAACACAGAGATCCTCCAAACATGGTTATTACCTTGTCGTCTGCCTAGTTTTTTTTTCTTCTTATCCAGAGTCACTACAAAAAAGTTTACAGTTTCATCTACCCCTTCTCTCTCAAAAAAAAACATTTAAAAAATTTTAAAAGATCTACTTCTTTGTGTTTTCTAAGTTTGATTATATGAACTCCAGGAAAGTGAAAACTGAAAATTTACTAACCAATCAGGAGCCAGGAAGTCCTCCTTCTCTGTCAGAGTGATGGGAAGTTGAATGATGGTTGCTCCAGGTCCATGGTTACCACCATATATTGCTCTACATTCTTGAACTTGAGAAAGCACAGCATGTCCAGTCCTCCTGCACCCACTGGTTCCTGTGTCAATTAGTTGTGTCTTCCATAAGGAACTTTTTACTTGGCCTCCAAATCCCTGATGTCTGGTCAGTGACTTGATGCTGAGACTTTCTGTAACTCTTACACTTTCCCTTAAAATCCTGCATCTGTTTCCAACCACATTAACCCCACCCACTAATTTGGTGGTGTTGAATCCATGTGTTGTTGAATCCATCGCCTGCCCTTCAAGCTGACCCCCAGTGTTGTCCTGCTCTTGTATCACTTGCCTTGCAAAT